AAATTGGTAAAATATTTAATAATCACAAAATGGTAGTTTATTGCCAGATCAAGTTAGGAAACTAAATGGAATCTAGTTATTTTATATGTCAAAATCGGTCCATTGATTGACCTTTGCTATTATAATCTAAGAAAATTGTTGAATTTCTAATATAATTATATGAACAATAAATTTTATTAGGAAAAAAATATTTTCAAATAAATAATCAAATAAAAATATAAAACATATCCTTTAAAAAAAATTTAATAAATAAGAAAAATATCTATTAAAGATCATCTCGGCTTGAACCGTGGTTTAAATTGAACTGTGGTAGTTTCACATTTAAAATCATTTCTGTTTTTGTAAATGAGTGTATTATAATAATTCTTTTTAATTATATATAGTAAATAAAATAGTATTGTTTTATCTTTTATATATGAAGTTATTCTTTATCTTATGTTTTTACTTTTTTGCATCTTAATAGGTTCCTTCTATTTTTCCTAGAGATTATTTGGCAATTAAAGTAACTTAAGTTCTTGAAAATTATTATATTAGTAATCAAGGGAAATAGATTATGAATCAAAATTACAATTTGTTGGCTCATGAAAAATCTTTATTGGAGCCTATCAGATTTTATTGAAAATGATATTATTATTTTAAATTGCAAATAAATAAAATTTTTCAGATATTTTGCTTTAAATAGATATATTCAAACCAAAAAAATTGGACAATAATCCAGTTTGATCTTTATATATGGTCCCCAGTTTGGTTTGGTCTTTAATAATTGGCTCCAAACTGGGTCAAACCATGACCTGCACTAAAAATACATAGAATTATGCTAAGGGGAGGGAGGGTGCAATCATTAGTTTTAAGGTAATAAATTTTGGCATATCTCAATTACTTTAAAATGAAATGACAATATCAATGTATTTTTATCATCCAAGTCTACCCACAATCCAAAATTTTTGCTCACTGCTTGCTTATTGAAGAAGCCAAAATGCAAATAATTTTTTGATTCTTCCATTTGGCTGCAGCTCCGGATTCTAACTCCTGTTTTTTTATTTCATTTTTTAATTACTATATTCAATCAGAGAAGAATGGAAAATATATTCTTTTTGGGACTATCCAGGCCAATATCTTATTTATCTGTTATGGCCTGGGCAAGCCTTGCAGAATTTTAACAAGTGTTTAGTTTACATATATTAATATTTAAATAATAATTCAATGACAGAAAAATATAATTAAAATAATGCAAGAAAATTGAGATATATAGAAAAAAATGTCAATTAAATATATTATTATTATTCATGTCAATTTCTTTCTATAACAATTATATTATGTACAGGGCTGTGACTATAAAAAAATTCTTGTGGATGGGGGGGGGAAGGGGGTTTGTGTATTTCATCTTTCTGTAATTCTAAAAATGAGAAATGACTAAATTAAGTTATATTAATCATGATAATTTATGTAATTTCAAGCTTAATTTGTATAATAATAAGAATAATTTATGCAATATAAATATTTTTTATTACAATTCACTTCAAATTGTGTGGAAATGGTAAAAAAATTGAAAATCTGCAAAAATTTTATTGAGGTAGTCAAGCCTCCTAATACCCCCCCCCCCCTCTGATAGAGGATTGACAAAATTTTATATAATCAAAATTGAATATATTCAATAAAAAAATGTTAATAACAGTATTTTTAAAAAAACATAAACACATATTATGCAACTTTTAATTTTAAAAAAAACCATATTTAAGAACTCAAACCATAACAAATATTAGTTTGGTTCAGGTTTAGTTTGAGATAAAAATAATAATTCATAGTTCAAATGTTAATAAAAAATAATAATATCTATCTCATTAACCTTCAAAAACTAGTTCAAACTTTTTTGTATATAAGCATATTAGAATAATGTAAAGAAAATAATTACCTTTATCACTATTCTCAACTTTATTATCATGAGTAGCTAGCACTGTCAAATAGTAATATACATATATAATTATTATATAAATCAGTCAACTATTAATCATCTTTAAAAGAGTCAAAATATCAAAAGGTTTAACCCAGTTCACAAGCATTTTTAGAGGTTTGTCAGATCTAAATGACAATTTTTTTCTACAGTTCAGACATGGTAAAACAGTTATACTGGTTTATTTCAAATTCAGTTTTAATCAGCTTCTAACTAAGAAACCAATCCACTCTTATATCATTGTATAACAATATAAATTTTCAAAATTAATTTTATATCAACCAAATATTAATTGTATAAACTAAAAATAATAAAGGGGAATAATGTTATATAATGTTACATAATAAAAAACATCAAGTTAGTATACAATGTATTAAAATAATATTAAATTTTACTGTTATGACAAATAATTATAAAATTTAATCTTATTTTGAAATTTAATGAAAAATATCTTACGATAGATCTTTGGCAATTTTCAAGAAATTGTTGCATTTTAGTCAAATATTTTAAATAACATGTGTCTAATCGATATTCGTCGTTGAATCGAAATATAAAAAAAAATATGAATTTAATGGGAAAGAAATAACTGATGTTCAAATCCTTATCGGTTTAAAAAATTATCTATTCATGTCTTTTTAAGTTATTGCTGTTATAAAGTCCGATTTTGGTGCATTTTTAAAGACGGCCCAATTACGATTTTAGCCAAAAAATATTATGTAAGCCTCAATGATATATATATAACTATAGATTGGCGATTCATTCATTCAATGCATTATAAAAGTGTCCTCGCATTTTAATCAGCTGTAGCGCCATTTTGTAGTTTGGTTATCCATTATTTCTCAGCAAGAAATATTAATATATAATAAACAAGTCTACTACGATAATTTAGTTTTAAGGTTTCGATTTATGATATAATATTTTTTAGTTTCTTTTATTTTTAAATATTTTCATAAGATTTTTTTTATGAAGGTGGACTAGCTGATTATATTTTAAAAATGAATCTCAGACTAATCCACCTTCTTATTTTCTAAAATCAAGTTTAACCTAGTCCTGCATGGACTTATAAATCATATGTTAACGCATGTTAGGATACATGCAAAACAGATCTTTTAATATCACTATCATTTATTATTTTATTTAGATAATGGGAGTGTACTGTGTTCATAATTGTAATAAAACAAATAAAATAAAATCTAATAACCATATTTCTTATCACAAGTATATTTTTTTGATATTTATTATTTTTTATATTTAAATAATTTAGGTCCAAGCCTTGCGATTATCTTTGAGTAAAATCGCCAATTATATAAAATTTATTTAGCTAAAATCTTAATCAAGTCGTTTTTATAAATCGACCCTAATCACGCTTTTTAAAAACACTAGATGAAATACCTGATAGCGACAACTACACCCCATATTGGTAATGAGGAACATGGGGAAAATGTGTAGTAATTTGGTTGGTAGTAGTAAAAATAACAAAGGTGCCAAGATTCAGAATAAGGAAAATAAGCCTGAGCTTTTGAAAACAAATAGATGGGGTTTAATTTGTTATTTATCTTTATATCAAATATTTTTAGAACCAACTGGCCTAAAGCAGGTGTTACTAAATAGGCCAACTTCACTAAAAAAAAGTTACTAATAATGGGATAATATTTTCTAGAAAGTTTTATAAATACAAATGTGTTAATGTGTTCAACAATTAATTGAAGCGGGTGCTGTTATTTGCTTTACTTGTAGCTATAACTTAACTTTTACGATTAGTCCTTTTATAATTATACAACAGGCACACTAGAGATCTGCAAAGGACGGGCTTGGGCCTAATTCTATTTAAAATAATCTGGTTCGGGCCGGGCCGGGCCTAATATTTTTAAAAAAAATTCGGGCCGGGTCGGGTCGGATTTTGGAAATTTTTTTAAATATATGTAAATTTATCAATTTTATATTGAATTTTATATGTAAAATAAAAATATTTGATTTTATATATTAAAACTAAACGACATATAACATATGTCTTTTATTTTGAGTAATTATAAAAATTAATTTCTATATTTAAATTCGGGCCGGGCCGGTGTAATGTTTTAAAAATACTCCATTTTTTTATATACTCCAATATTTAGTGATATTTACGTTTATGACTGACGTGCATATATTAAATATTACATTTTTAGTGATATTGACGTTTATGACTGACATAAAAATATTAAATATAATAAATTTAGTCAATTGGCATTTATAACTGACGTATGAATAATAAATATTACCTATGATATTTAAGGCAATTAAAAATACTCCATTTTTTTATATACTCCAATATTTAGTGATATTGACGTTTATGACTGACGTGCATATATTAAATATTACATTTTTAGTGATATTGACGTTTATGACTGACATATAAATATTAAATATAATAAATTTAGTGAATTGGCATTTAAAACTGACGTATGAATAATAAATATTATTTTTTCTATGTCCTATGATATTTAAGGCAATTTTGCCTGATTCTCTTTAGAAATTATTAGATTTAATATTAAGTGTTAAAAATTTATATATTTATTTAAGGTTTAATTCGAAAATATCAAAGATTAACATATAAATCTTGCACTATCTATTATCACGTTACTGCTCAAAGTTAGAAACAATTTTCAGAATAATTTATTAAAATCCTTTATTTTTGTAAATATAAAGATAAAAAAATCAATTAATAATATATGCGATATAAATAATATATGCGATATAAATAATATATGCGATATAAATAATATATGCGATATAAATATTAATTAAAATTAATTATGCGATCAAAATGTTCGCTATGATTTATTAAATAAATATTTACATTAAATTTTTTAATATTACTTAATTTTTTAATGGGCATATAGTATGCCCATTTATAAATAGTATGTATTAAAATATTTGTCTAAAGCATAGTTGTCATTGCAACTATCTCCACCTCTGTACCATAAACGGCATTTTGAGCCATGCCCATCCTCTCCGGCGGGGTACCTATTAAATTAAAAAATTGATTTTATCAAATCTTAAAAATGTTACCAAAAGGTCGAATGTCATCAGGCTCTAGCATTTTCGATGCTTTTTCTGGTGTCTTAACTCCATCATCTAAAAAAATATGTATATTAGATATTTTTTATTATACCTTTTTTGTTTATACAATTATAATCCTCTCCAACTATCGAATTTAGTATATTCATAACTAGATATTTTCAAAAAAGATTTAATATTAAATATATGAAAATATTACCCTTCATATGATTTTCTTCCGCATTACGCTTTAGATTTTTAATAGCTGGTTCTTGAAAATTTTCATCATCATCTAAAAAAAGGAATATTATTTAATAATAAAATCCATTGTATACCTTTTATGGTACTAGAATAAAACTTTTCACTTGACCTAGGAACTGTTTAAAGTTATTTAATAAATTTTTAAAAGTATTAACATTTTTTCTGTCCTGCTTTAATTGTGTCATCTTGATAAATATATAAATATATAATTAATTTTTTTTAAAACTATACCTTTTCTTGTAACATCTAAAAAATAATATTAAAAAATAAAAAATAACAAAGAAAATATTTAATGAGAATTTGTGTTGTGATGATTTAATGACACATATTGACGATTAAATTTAAACCCATTCATGTATAATTATATTGCTAGCAGAAATAATTAAAATAACACATTTGTATTTATGTACATTATGTATAGATATTGATAATTAATATTAAGATGGGTATTTGCTGTTTTGATAATTGAGTTTAAAATGTTTAACCATGAGTCATTATTGTTGATTTGATTCAAATTATGTAGAAAATTATTTGCTGGGGTTGGTAAATTAATATTAGAGATATTATATTTTTTAAGGATTATAGGAGTATATTTGTTTGAGGGTTTGAAGTATGTGTGATATTTATTGTTTCTTTGTTTATAAAAAGTTGATTATTTAAAGTAGCAAAACCAATAAGAGAATTAGTGATTTCATTACATAATTTCATGTTAAGGTCTCCTCCAATGATGATAAAGTGATTTTTATTGAAATCTATAAAATATAAAAGATTAAATAGGCCTGTTTTCCATTCAAATAAAGATATGGCATTCCATTATTTCTCGGAGATGGCATTTTAAAGGCAAATATTTTAAATGTATCTTGAAGAAAATATATAAAACGATTTAACATCAGCCATTTTCCCGCAGACGATTTTTTCATCTGGTACCAAGCATCATGCACATATTTTTAACACAAAAATATGATTCCGCCTTTACAAGCCATAAAGCGACAATTTGAGATTGTCCATGACTATCTATTACAAGTAGAATAAACAGTGGCATACCTAGATTGTTTAATTTGTAGGTAGCATCAATGAATATCACCTCAGGATAATATTTAAGATAATGGAGCATGCTAGCATCTTGAAAGTAAATGCCCAACAATTCACTATCATTTTCTAGGATTTCCAGAGCATGCTAGCATCTTAAAAGTAAATGCCCAACAATTCACTATCATTTTCTAGGATTTCCAGAGCATGCTAGCATCTTAAAAGTAAATGCCCAACAATTCACTATCATTTTCTAGGATTTCCACCACAGCTCCATTATCTTCCCTGAGTTGATTTATTACATCAAGTAATACATTATCAGATGGCTTGTTTAATTTGGCTGAAATATTATGAATATCTCTCAGAGTCATCATCTGACCTGAATTAAGAACATATTCTTGTATTTTCACCTTATTAGCTTTAAAAGTGATAGCTTGCTCCACAATTTGTTTTTTTATTGGAGAAAGCCTTCTTTGTTTAGGGAGCATCTCATATAGTTTTTTATCTTGATTATATAAATCATGTTAGCTAAAAATCAAATAAATATGTCTAACCTAGATCATGGTTTTTATGATCTTTTACAAATGTGACAATATCTAAAGAATACACATTTAGTTTATCACACTGAAGAAAGACTGTGAACATAAAAATACATTCCTTGCGAAGACTAGATGAGGATCTTATACCTCTAGACTTATTTTTTTTTCAGTCCATATTTACATATATAATAAACTCGATTATATTTATATTGAGCTATAAATGCTTTGCTATAAGGTTCCTTTAATAAGTCTGATTTATTAATAACTATGTTAAAAAAAAATTCTTTTTCATATATAGATATGGCATCGTTTAATTCATGTATAGAATTAAATTTAGCATTAAGATATAATGACATAATTAAAATAAATATATAAAACTATAGTGTAAAATATATTAATATGAACCTGTTTTTAAATCTTTAGCTTCTTGAATCAATGATAAATCTTTAGCTTCTTGAATCAATAATAAATCTTTAGCTTCTTGAATCAATGATAAATCTTTAGCCTTCTTTTATTTTCTAAAATAAAATAAAATTTATAATGTAAAATATATTAATATGAACCTGTTTTTAAATCTTTAGCTTCTTGAATCAATGATTAGCTTCTTGAATCAATGATAAATCTTTAGCTTCTTTTATTTTCTAAAATAAAATAAAATTTATAATGTAAAATATATTAATATGAACCTGTTTTTAAATCTTTAGCTTCTTGAATCAATGATAAATCTTTAGCTTCTTGAATCAATAATAAATCTTTAGCTTCTTGAATCAATGATAAATCTTTAGCCTTCTTTTATTTTCTAAAATAAAATAAAATTTATAATGTAAAATATATTAATATGAACCTGTTTTTAAATCTTTAGCTTCTTGAATCAATGATTAGCTTCTTGAATCAATGATAAATCTTTAGCTTCTTTTATTTTCTAAAATAAAATAAAATTTATAATGTAAAATATATTAATATGAACCTGTATTTTTAAATCTTTAGCTTCTTGAATCAATAATAAATCTTTAGCTTCTTGAATCAATGATAAATTTGTAGCGTCTTTTATTTTCTATAATAAAATAAAATTTATAATGTAAAATATATGAATATGAACCTGTATTTATTTTTTAAAATGGAGTTTAAAAAAGGCGTCAACGGGGCAAATATCCTTTGCGACCTAAAAAATTTGACTGGAAATTCAAAAAAATCGCCTCAGCATCATCAGCTCCAGAATAATGTTTCTTGATTGACATGAGCACTTTTTCAAAAAAAATATCATTATAAAAATTACATTGATCTAAATATACTCTGATATGTAAATACATTATAATCGAACAATATGATCTGAAAATACTCCACAAATAAGCTTAAAGGAGTATATAAAAAAATGGAGTATTTTTAAAACGTTACAATCCAAACCGAACTAGAACCAAATCGTTAAACCGCTATAAACCGGTATTTTTTTATCAAACCTGAACCGTAACTAAACCGCTAAAAAAATTCTTGTTGAACCTGAACCGAACCGCTAAAATGCCTCTGAACCGGTTTCTTACAATATAATATGTAAGTTATTATTAGAATATTGAAAAAAATTCAATTATATTCGAATTATTTTAAAAATTATCATCAATCACATTTGATTGATAAGTGTCGGTCATAATTTTTATAAACTTTATATTGTCATTTAAGCTTATAAATTATAATGCTTAGAGAAAAATTAAATCCAAAATATTATTATAAATGACCATTGGCGTACGCAGCGGGGGGGGGGGGGGGATCAAAACATGCAGATGCCGGATATATTTTTCAAAAATATTATTGTTTATATTAATTTATATTTGTTAATATTAATTTATATCTCATATTAAATATATATTTTATTACATTTATTATCACATTCATAAGTTATTTTATCAATTAATTTCGATTTCAAGTTTTCCGGCGTAATATTTACTTATTATTTTCAAATTTTTAGTGGCGTAAAATTTATCTTTTTGTTTCAAATTTCTAGTCAAATAATAATTATTTCTGAAACTTCTGGTCCAACAGGGTAAAAGAAATTGCAACCTTGTCCAACGAGATAGAGCCTCTTCCATCAAGCACTAACAGCTATTAAGGAGTTGGAAGAGCCAATTATTTGCTATTACTGAAATATCACAATGGCCTGAAAGAAATATATCCTCAAAAGCAAGAAAATTATTGAATTCAATGCTTATTCCAAATTTTATTTCTCATTAGAATGTATTATTTATTATACAACTATTTTAAGTATTACTTTTCAAAAACATGACATTAATTTGATTAAGAAAAGGAGAATAGCTGAGAGCATTTTATCAGAACTTAAGGAAATTAGGGCTTATGTTGATGAAGAATTTTATATTTTATTATTGAGTCAAAAGCAGAGCTATACGTGTTTAATATTTGTCTCCCTCGACTTGTAGCAAGGCAAGCTCATCGTTAAAACATTAATATAGGATCAGTAGAAGAGTATATCTTAGATGCAGATACATTTATAACCCAAATAAATGAATTTTTAATTCATCATGCAGCACTTACATCTGCAAATATTACTTCCACAAAGGCCTTCCTAACCTTTTTCAGATGGTGATAGAAAAAAAAATATTTGTTAGATTTTTATTATGAAGATGTTAAAGTATCTTATGATGCCTTACTAGCTGAATAACTATGTTTATAAGATTAACTATAGTTGATATAGTCCCAAAAAATGCTATGGATGCTCTGCATTATTTCAAACACATTTTAGATTAAATTCCCAATATATTAAAAGGGTTTATAAATTCTTCCCATTAGTAAACTAATGAGAGAACACTCTTTTTTAAGAAGAATAACAGAGGCTTGCAGAAGTACCATTTGCAGGACACGGCCCGGATTTTTTAAAGATTTTTTACTACCCGGCCTGGGGTTTTTTTAAAAAATTTTCAGGCTCGGCCCTTTTTTTAAAAAACTTTCAGGCTCGACCCGGCTTTTTTTAAAAAAATTTTAGGCCCGGCTCGGCCTTTTTTTTTAAATTTTCAGGCACGGCCAGGATTTTTTTAAAATAAATTATATTTTTTGATTTTTATAGCTAATAATAACGATTTCAAATATAGGCTGTTTTAAAAAATAGAGCCCGCCTGGGTGTTTTTTTTAAAATAATTCAGGCCCGGCTTGGGTGTTTTTTTAAAAAAATTCAGGTCCGGCACGAGTGTTTTTTAAAAAAATTATCGGGCCCGGCCCGGGTATATTAAAAAAATTAAAATACTGTCCGGCCCAGGGGCCGGGCCTGCAGGTCTCTGAAAAACATACCAAGAAGTACAACATGTGAAAGTAGATTGAAAGGTTTGGATCTTTTGAATATTCATAGGCATTTGACGACAAGCAAGGATGAGATAATTGCAAAATTAGCTCAATCCCAACGAATATTGGATT